TTTTTTTTTTGCGCATGCGTGTGTATATCTCTGTATTTGTGTGTTTTTTCTTTTCTTTCGGGGTCACAAAGCTTTCTCTGTTTTGCTTTTTTTTTTTTTACTTACTTTTTCATTTTCTTTTGTCTATTGGTTTTTCTATTGCATTAGTGACCGAAGCAAGGAATAGCCTTCTTTGTTGACGATGGCGGAGACACAGAGCGTCGTGGAGAAAAAGGCAGCCAACCCGATGCGGGAGATCGTGGTGAAAAAGCTGTGCATCAACATTTGCGTTGGTGAGTCAGGCGATCGTCTTACCCGTGCCTCAAAGGTGCTGGAGCAGCTGTGCGAACAGACCCCAGTGCTCTCACGCGCTCGCCTGACGGTGCGCACGTTCGGCATTCGTCGTAACGAAAAGATTGCCGTTCACTGCACTGTTCGTGGCAAGAAGGCAGAGGAGCTGCTGGAGAAGGGCCTTAAGGTGAAGGAGTTCGAGCTGAAGAGCTACAACTTTTCCGACACGGGCTCTTTTGGCTTCGGTATCAGCGAGCACATTGACTTGGGCATCAAGTACGACCCGTCCACAGGTATCTACGGTATGGACTTCTACGTCGTGCTTGGCCGCCGCGGCGAACGTGTGGCGCACCGCAAGCGCAAGGTAAGCCGTGTGGGCTTCAGCCACCGCGTGCGGAAGGAGGAAGCGATGAAGTGGTTCGAGAAGACCCACGACGGTATCATCTTCCAGGCGAAGAAGAAGAAGACCATGGTCCGCCGCCGCCGCCGTTAAGGCAATGATGCACCCTTTGCTCTTTTGAGAGGCGACTATTGCTGAGGCATGCAATGATTTTATTTTGTTATTCCTTTTCTTTGATTTGATATTTATACCTACTTTATTAAACAGACTTGCTTGTTTTTAGTTTTGCAGAATTTTCTCTTTGTATGTGTGCTATTTACATTTTTTTTGTTTTGTTTTCTTGCCTTTCTCTCTTTTTTTTTTTCTTTTTCTCTCTTTGTTATTTGTGTGTGCATGTGGATGTGGGGGAAAAGAAGATAGCATACAGTATCCTTTCCAGGAGCACGAGATGACGTTCTGCAATGTCACCCCGTCTGAAGTGAGTGTTATGCAGAATATATTAAGTGAACGGGGAGAGAATGGAGTTGTTGTTGCAGACCATGCTGTCATGGTGGTCGAGAACGCAATGAAGCGCTACGTGGAAATGCGGTCGACGTAGCGCGGGACTGCACATCGTGACGAGACTACCACCTCATCTTCGCCATTGTGGTACGATGCGGTGAAGGCAGATACGACGGGAACGGTTCGTGCATATCCGTACCCGTCGTTATTTCTTAATCCACTTCCACCAGACCTTTGTGAGCACCCAAGCACTCCGCCATCATTTCTTATGGCATCATCAGTGGCAGGACCAACGGAGGATTAGGATAACAATGGAGATAGTACTGGGCAGAGATACCGGGATATGTTTGTTCTCGATGGGGGTGCCCCCCGAATGATGACGGTGCTCCAGGGGGAATGTGGCCTTGCTGTTGTTTCGCCCCACTCTTCGCGTGGGAGATCCAGTGGTGTGTACCTGATGGGACCTGATGCCACTTCGTGCACCATTGTGGCGTGTCGTGTGGGATTGCACCCGAAGTTGCGGGAGGCAATCATGGCGACTGCGGCTGACGATGCGACGCTTCTCCGTCGCTGCTGTGCTACATTTACGGCATCCATGGTGCACTTCGATAATGTACAGGGCCTGTTGCCAGTCTTGCACGAGATTCTCTGGGAAACTGCATTGCCGGCGTGGTTTCACGCTGTGTTGCGTGCTGACAGTAGGATGACAGCAGAGAGTGGCGCGGTAAGAGCAGCGGAGGATCTCATGGCGCAGTTGCGCCTCATCATGCTGACAACAGTTGCAGTGACAGACAGTGATGCTGCTACGCCCACACTCTATGTGGAGTGGTTCGTTGTGGGAGGCATACGGAGCAAGGAACACACTGCACCAGTTCTAAGCGCCATTTTTGGTGCCTTCTTTGCCAAGGAGAGGGAAAAGAGTGATGCTTCTTGTTCTCCCTGTGGTCGACGGCACGACCCCGCGCAGGACCACCTCCTGAAACCGGTGTTTTACCTATCCGAGGTACTGGGTGTCGATGGTAGTGCGTTGGAAAGGGGAAACCCAGTTCATATTGAACACTGCCTTCGCGAGGACGGGTCCTGTTTCTGGAGCTTCAATACTGTACTGCGGCCGTGGGAATTGGGTCGTCCAGGTGCTCTGTACTCTTGCGCTGCCTGCTGGGGGCTTCTTCTTGACGTTGGTGGTGGTGGTTGCTGGCCGGTAATGGTAAAGCCAGGGATGCGCAAATACCCACTGGCAGCACTGCGTCACACCTTGGTACAGCGAGGGTATCGCTGGACGTGTCCACTGGAAC